AAGTCCTGCATGACTATATCGGCAATGATCGGAGAAAGTGGGGAACCCATAGGAGTCCCATAAATTTGTTTGTAAGTTATGTTATTGAACGTGAAAATGTAGAAGTTAATATAAATTTTATCATACCTATGAATTCATTTTTGGGAATCTTTGTGTGTGACTCTGAACTTATAAATAATATTGAGATTGTAAAAACATTTTAATTAATAATTGTTTTCCGGATCATATTATTAATAAGTATGTAAATAAAAGAATTAATGTACTGAATAACAACAGGAATGTTAACGGTCACAATGCGGATAATAACGACAGTTTGAGTAATGATTTAGATAATAACGTTAATGTGAATTCGGCTCAAGATAAGAATTATGTAATTCCACTCCCATACGATAAGGATGTTAGCGACAGTATTAAAAGGTCACTTAAAAATGCTAACATAAATGTCATTTATAGTTTGCCAAAAAAGTTGAATAAGCTGATAAAACGAAGTAAAAATTTAATAACTAATGATATTAAAACGAATGTAGTATACAAGATTAATTGTGAAAATTGTAATGCATCATACATTGGACAAACGAAAAGACATTTATGCACTAGAGTGAAGGAACATGCCAGCAATATTAAATTACATGAGTCTAATCATTCGGTTTTAAGCAAACACAGATGTGACTTTGGGCATAACTTTGATTGGAAATCACCGACCATTTTACATAACGAGAAACATGTAAGAAAGAGAGAGATTGCTGAAATGTTCTTTATAAAGAAGCATGACAATACGGTTAACCTACAGAAAGACACCAAGAATTTGACAAACATTTACGACAAAATAATAAAGATTGTTTAGTGGCGTGTTTCAAATTTAGTCGTTGACGAAACATCATAACGATGGGACGTGTTCCTCTTTTAACTTTTAACTTTTGATTTTAAATAACACCAGTGTGATGTTACGTTAACCTCGGTTTAATTGATGGGTATGTTTATATAATTTATATTTAATTTATTAATTTAACACTTAAATGAGTTCTCGTATGTTAAAAACTATTGTGTAATATTATGTTGTAGAAATTTCACTTGAAAAGGACCACAACCAAATGGTCGAAACGTCGTGAAATAATTAAATAAAATTTGCTAGTTACGTCGAAGTCAAGTTTTTTAAGCTTATTTTTACCACTAGCGACCAATATTAATTTTTATTAATACTTATTTTAATTGATCGTATAATATATAATTATTAGATAAGTTTCCTATAATGATACAAATGTATAATTATTGCTTTATTTTAAAACGTTTATAATATATACAATAACAAAATAAATTCAGTAAAAATATATATATATTTATTTATCTTTACATTTAAATAACATGAATAATTATGTAATTAATTTAAACTGGAATGTGTATATATATTGTAAAGTTATTATATTATATATTTTTATAAAATATTTAGATAAATAGATATATATAATAAAATAAATTATTTATTTCTAAATAATCATTTAATTCAAATACGAGGTGTGTTCAAAAAGTATCGCGAATTTTGAATTTCCGCGGGTTACGTATATTCGATTTTCAATTTTTTTGTGGCGTTATGTTGGTACTCATGTTTCTCATTTATGCCGACAAGTACGGCCATTTTGAATGTTCAGTTAATTTTTGACAGCTGCTTTGCTTGCACGTGTTTTGGCTCGTCTTCGATTTTTGCCTATTCCAAAAAATGGATCAAAGAATCTGTATCAAATTTTGTGTGAAAAACAAAATTAAGTGCGCGGACGCATTCCGAATGTTGACTGTGGCATATGGTGAAGCTACCTTGGACCGAAGCAACGTTTATCGGTGGTACAAAATGTTTTCCGAGGGCCGAGAAGATGTGAACGACGAAGAGCGTGCCGGACGCCCGAGCACGTCAACAACAGACGAAAACATTGATGAAGTGAAGAAAATAGTATTGGTCAATCGTCGAATCACCGTTAGAGAAGTTGCTGAGGACCTAAACATATCGATTGGCTCGTGCCATTCGATTTTTACCAATGATTTGGGCATGACACGGGTCGCCGCGAAATTCGTACCAAAATTGCTCAATTTCGACCAAAAACGGCATCGCATTAACATTGCTCAGGAGATGTTGGACTCTGTCCGCGACTACCCAAATTTGCTCCAGAGGGTCATAACTGGTGACGAATCATGGGTTTATGGTTATGACGTGGAAACCAAAGCTCAATCATCCCAATTGAAGCTGCCGCACGAGCAAAGACCGAAAAAAGCGCGCCAAGTTCGGTCAAATGTGAAGGTTTTGCTTACAGTTTTTTTCGATTGCAGGGGCGTGGTGCATCATGAGTTCTTGCCACAGGGTAGAACGGTCAATAAGGAATATTACCTGCAAGTTATGCGCAAATTGCGCGAAGCAATCCGCCAGAAACGCCCGGATTTGTGGAAGAACAAAAATTGGCTTTTGCACCATGATAACGCCCCTGCTCACACATCGTTGCTTGTGCGCGAATTTTTGGCCAAAAACAACACACTAATAATGCCGCAGCCACCGTATTCCCCAGATCTGGCCCCCTGTGACTTTTTCTTGTTCCCGAAACTGAAGAGGCCCATGAAAGGACGACGCTACGCTACGATTGAGGAGATAAAGACGGCATCGAAGGAGGAGCTGAACAAGATCACAAAAAATGATTTTTTGAAGTGCTTCGAGGATTGGAAAAAACGTTGGCACAAGTGTATAATATCTGGTGGGGATTACTTTGAAGGGAACAAAATAGATATTCATGAATAAATAAATAATTTTTGAAAAAAACACAAAATTCGCGATACTTTTTGAACACACCTCGTATATTTAAACGTATATTCAAAAAGGTAATATAAGGCACAAAGAATGAAATTTAGAAAATTAAAAAAATTTAAAGTTATAAAAATTTTTAATTTAAATTAAAAAATAAAAGTAAAAAAATGTAATGTACAAAAAATACTTAGCGCTGTTTTTGTATTGTAGCCCCTTGACTACGAAACGTCCTTAAAAATGATTAGTAACGAAATGTGTATATACAGAATATATCACACACAGAAGTCGCATCCCAATTGCCCAATTGTTGAATCTGTTTAATATGACAATTATTACATATTACATTATATACATATATTTCATACATGTATATCGATATTCAGCTAGTCACATGTCACTCGAATATCGAGCCACGTAATATGTTTATAGATGTCTATTAAAGCGTATTGCAGTAAAAAAATTAGTCTATACTTTGATTTATGTTTTATTTTATTTACTAATGTGTTAAAATAACAATACAAAAGCAGCGCTAACAATAAGTATTTTTTGTACATTACATTTTTTGTACTTTTATTTTTAATTTAAATTAAAAATTTTTATTTAACTTTAAATTTTTTTAATTTTCTAAATTTCATTTTTTGTGCCTTATATTACCTTTTTTGAATATACGTTTAAATATATTTGAATTAAATAATTATTTAGGGATAAATAATTTATTTTATTATATATATCTATTTATCTAAATATTTTATAAAAATATATAATAACTTTACAATGTATATACATTCCTGTTTAAATTAATTACATAATTATTCATGTTCCCAGCAAACGAGAAATGATTGGATTGGATAACTTTGTATGAATAAAATTTTTGAATACGCGAAAAAGTATTGAATTTAATAGATACTGAACACATTGAATCCGTTTTCTATACGTCTCGTTACATACAATCCTGTAAATTCTAGTGGATTTATTTGGATTCAAAAATGAAAATATGAATCGATTCCCTATTACAAAATTGTGAATTCAAGTGAATAGAGGTGGATCTAGAACAGCAGAGACGGATTCAAAAGATTTGACTTTTATTGATATATATATATATATAGCTAGGTTAAGTTCGTCTTGCTCGCTTTCGTGCTGAAAGCATCCATTCTATCTTTCTTCGATGTATTAATGAGCAAGAAAGATAGACTGATACTTTCAGCATGAAAGCGAGCAAGACGAATAGGCTAATAATCTTTTTCTGGAAAAAATATTACCAATACTAATAACTAACACTGAAAATCACAAAAACATAACTAAAATTAACATTATAATTTTAAATAAAATAGTGCAAGGTAAAAATTGTTAATATCATATTTATTTATTTTATATGAATATTCGTAAAGTATTTCAATAAATATTACCAATAGATTAAACACAGTTTGGTCTTTTTATTATTTTAATTTGGGCTATTGTTTTGAAACTCCACGAACTCCACAATCTCCTCCATATATTCGTCACAATTTTCGTTGTCATTCTCGCCGTCATTTTCACCGTCATTCTTTCCGTCATTCTCGCCATCATTCTCGCTTTCATTCTGGCTGTCATTCTCATCGCTATTATTTTTGCCGTTATTCTCGTAGTTATTCTTGCTGTCATTATTGCCATTATTATTGTAGTCATTCTTGTCGTCATCTGTGTCAACATTCTCGACACTTTCTAATGCACAATTGCCGATATCCGATAATAACAATACATTATTATTATCTGTTTCATTTATTAATTCAGTCTCGATAGATGATTGCGAATCTGAAACTATACATGCATTTTAATTTACATTTATCTAATTTATATCCAAGAACAAGAAGTTATGACATCAAAATGACTCTAAAATGATTTTAAAAGTCACTTTTTTATAAATCAGGATTCATTTTAATGTCATTTTGACTTCGTCAGGACTTGTTGTTCTGCTTGAGTATTTGCCTTAATGCTATTCATTATTTGTTAATTCTGAAAAGTATATATTAAATTAATCAATAGGGGCTTATTGTTTATACAAAGCGCAAAACCTTCAGATAGCATAATGTAAATATGTGACAAATTTGCAACTGTAATGTTTACCTGTAGTGAAATCGTCATTTTGAAAATCTGCATTATTTTCTATTATAGCGTTCATCTCTTGCAATTGTTTGTTTAATTTATCCACGTTCGATTGGCTTAATTTTTTCTTTGTTTTCAATTGCCTCGATTCTAAAAATATTAATTTATAAATATTATTAATATTATTAATATTATTAATTTAATAATATACTTATGTTTTAATATTACATTATCACTATCGCAAATACATATAAGCACATATATTTACCTTTCATACTTGCCAGTTTCCTTCTCATATATTCTTTTGCTTTATCTACCTCTTCATCTGCCTCAATTTCACTCATTCTCTTTTCGGTCAGTAACCAATGGCGAAATATTGCTGTGAATTATATATACAAGTATATTACATAATTAATTTGAAATTTTAGTAGTTATGTACAGCAACGATTAATATTACAAAACCAAAGTAATTATTATTAACCTTTTATCGCCAACACTTTTATTGGATCCAATTTCTTGTACGCTTTTCAAATGTCCGCTTTCGTTCTGTTGCTTGGTTTTCCTGACAAGGTACTGTTCAGTAATGTCTTATAAGGAAACAGAACTAGCATCATTTCGGCTACAAACATGCTGGGTGTCGTAGCAGTACCAATTACTAAGGCATAACTTTCTGTCGATATCCATACGTTATGCCCCAGATATATCTAAAAAACAAACAACTAGTAAATATAATTATTATAAGATATAAGTAAATTCAGAAATTCAGTACATATTTCTAAATTATATACATATTTTATTCCTTTGTAATTATGCAGGATGTTCCAGTATTTGCTGTAAGTACTGAAAACGTTTATCATATTTTAATAGAATGCATCTGACAAAGATAACAAAATGCTTTTAGGTACTCGTTGCAAATACTAGAACACATTCACAGTACATCAATAACGAGATTATAAAAATATATATGCATATTTTGTTAAGCAATTTACCTTCTCAGTATCTGCTTCAATATATCCAACCGCTATTTTAATCGGATTTAAGACGTCTGTAGTTTCAGCATTTTTTAACTCTTGTAATGTTGCTGCACCAGAGGAATGAGAACATGCTTCTGTTATAACTTTATGTTAACCATGTGTTACATTTCATTAAATATAACCCAGACAACATAATGTCTTAAATCAAGACATAAGACGTATTAAAGACGTCTTATACGAGGTGTGTTCAAAAAGTATCGCGAATTTTGTGTTTCTTCAAAAATTATTTATTTATTCATGAATATCTATTTTGTTCCCTTCAAAGTAATCCCCACCAAATATTATACACTTGTGCTAACGTTTTTTCTAATCCTCGAAGCACTTCAAAAAATCATTTTTTGTGATCTTGTTCAGCTCCTCCTTCGATGCCGTCTTTATCTCCTCAATCGTAGCGTAGCGTCGTCCTTTCATGGGCTTCTTCAGTTTCGGGAACAAGAAAAAGTCACAGGGGGCCAGATCTGGGGAATACGGTGGCTGCGGCATTATTAGTGTGTTGTTTTTGGCCAAAAATTCGCGCACAAGCAACGATGTGTGAGCAGGGGCGTTATCATGGTGCAAAAGCCAATTTTTGTTCTTCCACAAATCCGGGCGTTTCTGGCGGATTGCTTCGCGCAATTTGCGCATAACTTGCAGGTAATATTCCTTATTGACCGTTCTACCCTGTGGCAAGAACTCATGATGCACCACGCCCCTGCAATCGAAAAAAACTGTAAGCAAAACCTTCACATTTGACCGAACTTGGCGCGCTTTTTTCAGTCTTTGCTCGTGCGGCAGCTTCAATTGGGATGATTGAGCTTTGGTTTCCACGTCATAACCATAAACCCATGATTCGTCACCAGTTATGACCCTCTGGAGCAAATTTGGGTAGTCGCGGACAGAGTCCAACATCTCCTGAGCAATGTTAATGCGATGCCGTTTTTGGTCGAAATTGAGCAATTTTGGTACAAATTTCGCGGCGACCCGTGTCATGCCGAAATCATTGGTAAAAATCGAATGGCACGAGCCAATCGATATGTTTAGGTCCTCAGCAACTTCTCTAACGGTGATTCGACGATTGACCAATACTATTTTCTTCACTTCATCAATGTTTTCGTCTGTTGTTGACGTGCTCGGGCGTCCGGCACACTCTTCGTCGTTCACATCTTCTCGGCCCTCGGAAAACATTTTGTACCACCGATAAACGTTGCTTCGGTCCAAGGTAGCTTCACCATATGCCACAGTCAACATTCGGAATGCGTCCGCGCACTTAATTTTGTATTTCACACAAAATTTGATACAGATTCTTTGATCCATTTTTTGGAATAGGCAAAAATCGAAGACAAGCCAAAACACGTGCAAGCAAAGCAGCTGTCAAAAATTAACTGAACATTCAAAATGGCCGTACTTGTCGGCATAAATGAGAAACATGAGTACCAACATAACGCCACAAAAAAATCGAAAATCGAATATACGTAACCCGCGGAAATTCAAAATTCGCGATACTTTTTGAACACACCTCGTATATGTCGATTTAAAACATTATGTTGTCTGGGAAGCTAGTTAAACACGAACCTTTTATTTGACCGAAATGTTGGATTGCAGATTTTTGCAATTCTTTGTTGAGATTTCGTATCTCATTTAATTCATTTGTGAGTTTTTCAATTTTCTCTTCTTTCTGTAAAATTTCTCTTGACAATGCCGTTTTCTCCTCTGTCCATATTATTTGTTTTACGTTTAAGTCATCTTTCACGGATTGCAATTCCTTCTTGAAGAAGTCTACTTGATTTTTGTACGCTTCTGCTGCTGCTTTATGCGATTTGACACTACATTCACTTATCTAAAAAAGTACAATAAAATACATATATTAATACATAGATATAAAATAAATAAATGTATCAATGCATATTCATTGTTATGATATTTAAGAAACTCTAAAATTGAACTCTAAGATTGAACAAATTATAACAAAAGGCATGAGATGCCCAAATTATATTTACATATAATATATCTGTAGCTTATCAACATAAGCGGTGAAGCTCATACTTGAATTTACGCTTGAAAATATCTTATCAACATTTTGCTACATAATTGCAAAATAATAATATTTTACCTCCGTAAGCTTTTGTTTCTTGAGCAAAATACATTTGTTTGATTGTACAGGAGTTATGGCATCTCGCTTTTTCCTTGAATCTGTCACCTGTAAATCATATTTTATATATATTATGATATTGTACAAAATATATTGTATGATAATCATATTAGTCTATGAATGCTGAAGTAAATTGAAACTTTTCAAATCAATATGAAGGCTAGCTTTACTTGTCGACGGAGAATAAGATTAAAAGGAACTCTTTTAGTTCGTTATATTATATATTTTACACAAAAATGTAAAACAAACGTACTGATGATGTAATAGGTGTTGATGTCACTTCATTGTTCAGTTGCGATGTTGTCATCATCATCTCTCGCTCAATTTGCTCATCTCGCAAAATTTGCAAACGGTTTTGCAAATTAGTGTCAACATTGGTATCAAGCTTATCATTCTACAAATATTATTTAAAACATTATTTAAGTTAATTGATAGAAACGTGCACATTTGCAGAGACGTAAAATAGAATTTATTACCTTCTTTTTTGCTGGTGTTTCTTCAGCTGATGAATTAAAACTGTCCGATGATGATGCAAGATGTTTAATGGGCTTCACTACCGGTCTTTTGGATTGAATTATTTTAGATAGTTCTTCCAATGACTCTGCAAAGGATATATGTAAATAAAAATTTATTTCGATTTTTATTTGCTGAGACTCATAAATATTGTACAATTTTTTATTGGAATTATTACCATTCACAAGAATCACTTGTGCATGCGAATATTTTCCTGTCACTGGATGTTTTACTTTATAAAGTTTATTTTTATCAATGTTTTTCACGTCTGACCTTTTCACTTTAATGTCTTCAATGGCAACTACCTTCATACACGAAGAAGCGCCGAAACCCGCGAATTTCACATAAGCAAACATTTGGAACTTTACAACAATTATAATTATAACAATTAATATAATATCAAACGGTATTTTGGAATGTTTAACGAATACACGGTGATACATGGTATAAAAACGCTCGGACTTTACGAAGAAAAGTATAGATTCAAATCGCGCGTCATTTGTCCACACACAATGCGCAGCGAAAGTGCGACGTCACATTCGAGTAGATTCGGCAACAATCGGTAGTTATTCGGACAACGAACTGCGAATGCGAACTTTGGCTGTGTTCCGATATTCACAGCCAAAGTCTGGTTGTAGTGTGGTGAACGCATGTGTCTCATATCTAAAACGACTTCAGCCTACATAATTGTCCTACATAATTGTAATAGGATATTTATTAAAAGTGAAAGAGAATAGAAGAAAAAAGGTAATCGAGGATTAGGTATGTACGTGCGATTTTCTGAATTGATAAATGCAAAGTAGTGTAAGTGCACAGTATATGTTTTTGTGCTATTATGCTTTATAAATTATCTGTTTACACGTTACGCACACATTAGCTGTTCGTTTTGCAGAAAAAGTCTTGTACTTTCTGCATTTTTTTTCGAAATACATGAATATAAAATAAACGTGCAAAACCTAACCTAAAATTTATTGCAAAAACTTTATTTTAAATTTATTGCATGAACTTTCTTTTAAAAAGAACAGAGATTGTATTGCTGTAAAAAAACTGAAACCGCGTTCCAGTATTTACAAGTTAAAAGCATCGTTTATCTTTTGTAACAAGACATTGATTTTTGCATGCAATATAAAGAACATCTTTCGTTAAACAAATTTGTTTTTCACACATGTGTTGTTCATTGCAGGTATTTATTTATAATATACAAATTGCATTTTCAATATATTCATTACTTGCAGAGTGAAAATGAATCAATCGCACAGAAAACGAAAGAAGCTTCATCTGGATCCGACGTACGACAGAAGATTGTTATCAATATCAACTCGTCGTAAATGGAATAAAATACTTAACACAGTTTTACCAAGGATACTACTTAATGCAAACAAAGAAGGTAATACTTTTCACTCTATACAGATTTCTTATGCTTATATGCAGAAAAACATTTGCAAATATTGAATCACTTTACCTTTTTTTTTAAACTTGGCATAACGCCTCCATTTTGATTAAGCTATTCAAACCAAATAATTCTTATATATATTATTATACATATATTATATATATTACATATTATTATACCATTGCTAATGTAAGTTAAACTTATCAATAATTTTTTCCTTGTAATTTTTTCGTCTTTTATTGATGGCTTAATGGCACTCATCTTAAAGACATGGGCTCGGTTCCACAAACTATTGTTACAAAAAGCTGTATATTACATATTTATTGTTCTTCTAACTATAAAGAAATAAAAAGAGAATAAGTTCAGAAAATATTTCAATACTGCAATACAATGGCTCTATGTAGGTCATATGAATGATTATGCTGAAAATGAACCTGAGAATGTGCAACCAGAAGACGAAGATAGCTGCAACAATAATGACGATTCAGAAGAAATACAATCGGAAGATGAAGATAGTAACAATGATGGCGAGGATTCGGAAGAAATAAATCCGAGGACAATCACTGATGATTTTACAGAAAGAAGCAATTCAGAACGTGATAAAAGTAAAATAATGTTTAAAGAATCTGATTTAACAGTCAATAGTGTTATGCGTATGGTTGCAGGGTATTCATTGCGGTTTGGACTGTCGAATAATGCGAGAAAAAGTTTAATTAATGTCCTTAAATTTTGTGCAGGAACTAATTTTACACAACTTAATGTTTCAAATTATTATTTTGACAAAACATTTGACCCACCTAATGACAAAATACTGTTTCATTACTATTGTACAGATTGCTATTGTGAAATATACCGTACTAGAAAAGAAGATTTTGTTAATATAACTAAATTATGCGAACTTTGTGATAAAGAGTATAACTTAAATTTGTCGTGCGAGAACTTTTTTTTATCTATTGATTTACGTTATCAAATAGAGTTACTTTTAAAGACTAAAAGTATTCGCACAGCATATATGCAGAGTATTAATTCAAGAAAAGGTACACAGCAATATAATTATATTAATGACATACATGACGGTGAATTACATAAAAAAGTAATTGCTGATTCAGCACACATTGTAAGTTATAATATCAGCACAGATGGAGCACCTTTAGGACATAAAACTAAACGTAGTATTTGGCCTTTGTCAGTAATTTTGAACGATTTGCCACCCAAGATTAGATTTGAAAAATATACAATAGGGATATACAATAGGATATACAAAAAGTAAATGACCAATCCGTACTTATGGATTCAAACGGATTGGTCGCACGTTTAATTTCTATGCACATTGGGTGAAATACCGAAAGCAAATAGCCAATCCGTAATTACTGATTCAAACGAATTACGGATAAAAAATGGATTCAACAAATCCAAAAATTTGATTCGATATCGGTTCAATAAATTATTATCAATATTTTTAAATTTTTTTTCGTTTGCTGGGTTATTTAAATGTAAAGATAAATATATATATATATATATTTTGCTGAATTTATTTTGTTATTGTATATATTATAAACGTTTTAAAATAAAGCAATAATTATACATTTGTATCATTATAGGAAATTTATCTAAATATTATATATTATGTTGTCACTTACTTAGTGCAACTTTTTGATTTGACTACTTTTTGATGCTAATATTTTAACCTTTTTCTCGTATTATTAATATAATTATTTAGCGCAATTTTTTGATTTCACTACTTTTTGATGCTAATATTTTAAACCACCATATTCATCTCGACTAAAGAGCCAAACGTGATGTTATTGCGACAGATTAAGATAAGAAAATTTGGAAACTAAGGAATTTGAATCCTATGGTTGGGATCTCAGAAATTCCCCCTGTTCCTTCTCTTAACATCCCCTGTAAAGAAATAGACGAGAAAAATATTGGTCCGAAAGTCGGCTGAATCGGGAATATTTTAATTTATAATTATTATATTTAATTTATATTTATTATTTAATTTATAATATTTTAATTTTTTTCTTTAGTTTTATTAACAAAAATAAAATATAATTTATAAATATAATTTTTGAGAAAATATTTTTGATGGTGATTAGTTTTTGCAAAGAATTATTTTTCCTAAAAACATAATTTTTGAGAAGATAATATTTTTTATTATTATAAAGTACTATTTTGCTGGCGAAAGATATAACTTAGCGCTTTTTTTTACATCTGTGATGTCTTTGTTTGTTATACATATACAGAGTGTCTCAAAAAGATCGGAACACTGAAAAATCTCGAAAAGTATACGTTTTACAGAAAGAAGTTTCAGACAAAAATTGTAAAAAATCTATTAATTGATCTTATCAGTTTGACCTTGGATTGCGTTACCAAGGTCAGAATAAGGTCACCTTGAATTTCTTACATAGAATCCTATATTTTTTATTACATATTCTTGTAGCTTACTTAGAGAGCTTTCCAAAACACTAATGAAATTATTTTTTATGGAGTACTCTTTGAGTTACAAAGGCTAACAATTTTTTGACATATAATGTAAAATATCTTTGTAAAATATTCCATTTTCGGTAATCATATTTTTTTTTGCACGGAATAATGAGACCAATGAATTGGTGTAAAAAAACACAGTTGCTTATAAAAAAAAGTATGCTTGCTGCATATTGAATATTACATATTTTTTTTAACAATTTTCTGTTTTTTTTATTGATCTTATTATATTATGCAAGAAAGTAGGTATGATTACTGAAAATGGAATATTTTACAAAGATAGTTAACATTTTATATCAAAAAATTGTGAGCTTCTAACCTTTATAACTCAAAGAGCACTCAATGAAAAATAATTTTCTTATAGTGTTTTGGAAAGCTCTCGAGATAAGCTACAAAAATATGTAATCAAAAATATAGGATTCCATCTAAGAAATTCGAGGTGACCTTATTCTGACCTTGGTAACGCCGTCCAAGGTCAAATTGATAAAATTAGTAAATAGATTTTTTTCCCTACAATTTTTGTCTAAAACTTTTCTGTAAAACGTATACTTTTCGAGATTGTTCAGTGTTCCAATTTTTTTGGAGCACCGTGTATATATATATATACGAGGTGTGTTCAAAAAGTATCGCGAATTTTGAATTTCCGCGGGTTACGTATATTCGATTTTCGATTTTTTTGTGGCGTTATGTTGGTACTCATGTTTCTCATTTATGCCGACAAGTACGGCCATTTTGAATGTTCAGTTAATTTTTGACAGCTGCTTTGCTTGCACGTGTTTTGGCTCGTCTTCGATTTTTGCCTATTCCAAAAAATGGATCAAAGAATCTGTATCAAATTTTGTGTGTTGTGAACCCATGATTCGTCACCAGTTATGACCCTCTGGAGCAAATTTGGGTAGTCGCGGAGTCCAACATCTCCTGAGCAATGTTAATGCGATGCTGTTTTTGGTCGAAATTGAGCAATTTTGGTACGAATTTCGCGGCGACCCGTGTCATGCCCAAATCATTGGTAATAATCGAATGGCACGAGCCAATCGATTTGTTTTTTTTGTCCTCAGCAACTTCTCTAACGGTGATTCGACGATTGACCAATACTATTTTCTTCACTTCATCAATGTTTTCGTCTGTTGTTAACGTGCTCGGGCGTTCGGCACGCTCTTCGTCGTTCACATCTTCTCGGCCCTCGGAAAACATTTTGTACCACCGATAAACGTGTAACGGCGTGGCCGTTACTAACGCCTCGCGGGCCGATCACCCGCCCGCCACTTGAGGCTATGGCGCCTAAGGCGCCCCTAAACGCAGAAACATAAGCGATACACGGGTCACCCTACCCCATGGGCGCCCCACTACAACTCCCAGAGGCGCCCCACTACGACGCCGGCGTTACCCCCACCACAACCTCGATGTAGAGTGAGGGAAGCGCCGGCAGGGTATATAAGCCGGCTCGACGGATGAGCCGGCACCAGTCCTGTTCCGGACCTCCTAGCCAGGCAACGGGCTTCTCGTTGTTACGCCGGGTTTCTCGGTTTCTGGCCTCCTACCTTTAGTATTGGGCAACGGGTTTCTCGTTGTTACGCCGGGTTTCCCGGTTTCCGGTCTCTTCCTGCTATACACCGGGTGACGGGTTTCTCGTCATTACGCCGGGTTTCCCGGTTTCCGGTCTCTTCCTGCTACACGCCGGGCAACGGGTTTCTCGTTGTTACGCCGGGTTTCCCGGTTTCCGGTCTCTTCCTGCTATACACCGGGTGACGGGTTTCTCGTCATTACGCCGGGTTTCCCGGTTTCCGGTCTCCTCCTGTTACACGCCGGGCGACGGGCTTCTCGTCGTTACGCCGGGTTTCCCGGTTTCCGGTCTCTTCCTGCTATACACCGGGTGACGGGTTCCTCGTCATTACGCCGGGTTTCCCGGTTTCCGGTCTCCTCCTGTTACACGCCGGGCGACGAGCTTCTCGTCGTTACGCCGGGCTTCCCGGTTTCCGGACACCGATATAGGCTATATGCCTCAGTACGTTCGATCTCCAGATTTTGCATACCGGGTGACCTGTAAGTCCTTTCCGGACACCGCTACAGGCTATACACCTCCGTACACCGTATCTCTAAGTTATACCGGGTAATTTGTAAGTTTTTTCCGGACACCGCTACAGGCTATACGCCTCCGTATTTTGTTTATACCGGGTAGTCAATAAGTTTCTCTATTCAGGCTTTATGCCAACGAACATTTTGTTTACGTGTTTCTTTTTGAATAAACCAAAGCATTGTTAATAAGGAATAAGCGAGTCTGAATCTTCCCCTTCCTCCCGAATCCTGGAACCGGCGAGCCGATCCGCGGCGTCGGGAAAGGTGAACCGTTACATGGCGCCCGAACAGGGACCTGCCCAGTGGAGATCCCGACTCGCTTAGGCCTATCCAGATGCCCGCGTGGGTAAATCAATTATCAAAATCCGAAGCTATTGCCTTGGCCAAAAGATACGGAATCGATAGCCAAGGAACTTTAGACGAGGTCCGCCGACGCCTCCGCCGATTTGTCGGGCAAAACCCCGCGCTATTTCGAACTCACCTACCTGTGCCCACTATCAACGTCGAAATGGCCACCGGAAGCACAACCAAAAAAGAAGAAACCGCGTTCCGGAAACTAAAACAGGCCTTAACCACCGCACCTGTCCTCGCCTGTCCAGATTTTGCGCGACCATTTCTACTACAAACCGATGCCAGCGCCCACGGGTTAGGGGCCGTATTAACCCAACACCTCGGCGAAGGAGAGCGGGTTATCGCGTACGCCAGCCGGACCCTCAACGCAGCCGAGAAGAATTATAGCGCTACCGAACTAGAGTGCTTGGCTGTCGTGTGGGGTATACGCCGGATGCGGGATTACCTTGAGGGCTACCGATTCACCGTCGTGACCGACCACCAAGCTTTAAAGTGGTTACAACACATCGAGGCCCCTACCGGACGACTAGCCCGCTGGATGTTCGAATTACAACAACA